TAGATTGCTTATCTCCATTTTGTTTAGTTCTTTTCCTGGAGTTTTGTTCTGTTCTTTCATTTGGGACATGTTTCTTTGTCTTCTCATTTTGGCTGCCGCCCTGTGTTTGTTTCTATGTATTAAGTAGAGTTGCTATGTCTCTTAGGCCTGTTGTATTAGGTGTCTCATAGCGTCCAGTGCCACAGCCTCCCTGATCACCCAGCTGGGCCCTTGAGTTGCACCCCTTGTGTGGACTTTACACCCTTTTGTTGTAATTCTTCCTTTTGTTGTAATTCTTTTTTCTTTTCTTTATTGATTTTGGAGAGAGAATAAGGAAGAGGGAGGGAGAGATAGAAATTTCAAAGCGAGAGCATCAATTGGCTGCTTCCTGTATGCCCGCCCCCCACTGGGGATCTGGCCCACAAACCTGGGCTTGTGCCCTGACCAGTAATCAAACCGGGAACTCTTGGTGCATGGGTCGATGCTCAACCACTGAACTATACTGGCCGGGCAGTAATTGAGTTTTGAGTGCTGTTGGCATGTCAATGGGATGTTTTTATTCAGGCTAATCAGCTGCAAGGACTAGCTGTTCCCACTAACCACCGACCTCTGATTACCTTGGATGATCAGCGGTGCTCTGGTACCCACTGAGTCCATTTCTTGAGTGTGTCACTTGTGGACGTGGTTGGGTGGTGGTGCTTTGACGTGGTCTGAAGCTGTTCACTGGGTGTGCTGGCTCTGGGGCAAGGTTAGCCACTGCTTGTGTTCTACCAGGGCCACCAGGCATAAGCTACAAAGCCATCTGCCAATGCCTGCTTCTAGTGCCAGGCCTGGGGCCACTTAGCAAGAGGTATGGGGCTCCCTGTGGCCAGATGCTGCTTGTTTGAGAGAATTTAGGAAAATCTGAAGCAGGAGTCAAAACAGGCCGATCTATGGTAAAGCCACTGCAAACAGCTTTGATGGCCTGAAAGTTGGGTGGGGCAGGGCCTCAGGGAATCACCAGGGTGGGACAGACAGTATGAGCCAGGTTGCTGGAGTCCCAGATATGATGCATGTCTGACTGTCCTGTGGGGTAAGGGCTCACCAAAGGAACAGTGGCCTCTGTCTGTCCAGGAGAAAGCTGCCTCTCTAGTGCTTGCCTCGATGCCAAACAACTCAGTTCTTCCCTGTAGGTGTCTGGTGCCTTTCAGGCTGCCTCCACTCTGCGCTGGAGCTTTGAGGGAGTGGGTCTGAGCAAGTTTATGCTTGGGCCCTTTAAGAGGAGCTTCTTGGGTCTCCAGCAGCCTCAGCCTCCCTCAGCCTCAATTTCCGCTGCTTTTACAGCCAGAAGTGATGGAGACTTCTCTTCCTGGCACTGGAACCCTGAGTCGGGCACCTGGTGTGGGGGGCAAGGACCCTTCACTCCTCAGGGAGGACCTTCACAGCCGAGGTGTCCTCCTGATTTTTATCCTCCACACATGGGTGTGGGACCAACCCATCCGCCTCTGCTCCTTCTATCAGTCTTGATATGGCTGCTGCTTTAATTCCGTAGTTGTAGGACTTCCATTCAGCTTGATGTCAGGCAGTTCTGAAGGATGGTTGTTCTGTAGTAATTTTGATGTGATTGTGGGAGGAGGCAAGTATTGTGTTTATCTATGCCGCCATCTTGACCAGAAGTCCATTTTTATACTTTATGTTTCTCTCTATATATGTTTCTTCATCTTCTTAAAGCATTTCTTTTATTGTTTCTTGCAGTGCTGATTTGGTGGTAATGGACTCACTCCTTTAGCCTTTATTGTCTGGGAAACTCTTTATTTCATCTTTCATTTCAAATGATAGCCTTGCTGGGTAGAGTATCTTTGTTTCAGGTCCTTGCTTTGCATTACTTTGAATACTTCCTGCCAGTCCCTTCTGGCCTGAAGTATTTCTGTTGAAAAATCACCTGACCTTATGGGAACTCCCTGTTTCTCTATTGCTGCCTTTAAGATTCTCTCTTAGTCTTTAGCCTTTGCCATTTAAATTATGACTTGTCTTGGTACCGGTCTCTTTGGGTTCATCTTTATTGGGACTCTGTGCTTCCTGAACTTGTGTGACTTTTTCCTTTACCAGGTTAGGGAACTTTTTTGTCACTTTTTCCAAACAGGTTTTTTGTCCCTTGCTCACTTTATTCTCCTTTGGTACCCCTATGATACAGATATTGTTATGTTTTTGGTTGTCCCAAAGTTCCCTTAAATGATCTTGTTTTTTAAAATTCTTTTTTCTTTTTGTTGCTGTGATTGTGTGTGTGTGTGTGTGTGTGTGTGTTTGTTTGTTTTGTCTTTCAAATTGATGATGATAGATCCTCTGCTTCATTCAGCCTGCTTTTAATTCCTTTCAGTGTATTCTTGATGTCAGATATGGTATTCATTTCCAAATGCTTTTTATTCATGGTTTCTATGTCCTTTTTCATGCTGATGTAGTCCTCACTCAGTTCCTTGAGCATGCTTATAACCATTATTCTGAACTCTACGTTTGACAAGTTGCTTCATCTTTTTCTGAAGATTCTTCCTTTTCTTTCATTTGGGGGTTGTTTCTTTCTCTCCTCATTTTAGCTGTCTCTCTGTGTTTGTTTCTATGTATTAGATAAAACTGCTCTGATTTCCAGTCTTCATGGGGTGGCCTTATGTAGTAAGTGCCATGTGGGACCCAGTGGTGCATTCTCTTTGATCTCCTGAGCTGGATGCTCTAGGAATGTTCCTTGTGTGGGTTATTGCGCGCCCCCCCCTTCTAATTGGGTCTTGATTGTGTTGTCTTGTTCATGGGTGGGGTCTCCTCTCAGGCTGACTGTGAGGCTGAACTCTGACCACATTGTGTGAGCTGATATACAGTTGCTGATGGAACAAAACAAAACTAGAGACAAAAACATTCAAAGGACCCCAACAACAGCAGCAAAAACAACCGCAAAAGAAATGAGAATTAGGAAAAAGAAAAGAGGATAAGAATAAGAAAAGAAAATATGAGGTGGAAGAAAAAAGAATAGGAAGGGAGAGAGCTAAAGAAGAATAAGAAAAGAAAATGGTAAAGAGGAAGGAAAAATTATGAAAAGGGGAAAATGAAGAGAAAGAAGAAAGAAACTAAGAAAAGCAGATAAGCGAAAGAAGAGGGAAAACAGTAAAAAAAAGGAGAAAAATAAGAGATCAAAGAAAAAAGAGAGAAAATAATAACAAAGCAATAAAAAAAGAAAAAAAAATGCAATATGTAGTTTGTGTTGGCAGGGTTTAGTGCCTGCTGTGATCTCCCTTTGTGTCCTGCTCTTATGTTGACTGAGGCTGTTTTGTTTGCCTTGTTTGCCGGTTGGTTCCAGGCTTCCCCAGAGGTCTGTGGTGCTAGCCACTGTCAAAACTGTCTACTTTTGGCTCTTAAGAATCTGTTCGAAGGTTCAAGCTATCCACAGCTTGTGGTTACCTCCACAGGGCTTGGCTGCACATAGGAGAGGCCACTGCACTCTCAGGCTAGCTTTTCAATAGCACAGGGCCAAGGGAGTACCATGACTTTGGGAACCAGATTTGAATCCTGATTCCACACTGTACTAGCTAGATGATTTTGGACAAGTCACTTAACCTTTTTGAGGTTCAGTTTTTTTCATCTATAAAAGGGAAACATATTTATTATTTTTTAAAAGTGAAAATATACATAAAGTACTCAGCTTAGTTACTAACACTTTAATTGCTGAGAAGTTTGTTCTCATTCCTAGATCTAGAACTTGCAGATTTGTTCAGGGGATGAACAATTGCTGACTGGAATGTTGTGTTTGTGAAGCATGTGTCAAATATGCTGGATCAGGTAGACCTATTAGGCCCATCAACCTTACTCCTTTTGCTAGATAACTGTAAAGGATAGAACTAGATGTCGTAGATGGATCGCTACTAGCATTTAAATCCTGAGAGCTGAAGTGTTTGGGCATAGGTGGACTACTTATATATATTTTTCCAGTTGACTTTCTGAAGGGGGAGATGTGGGAAAAGTGGTTAGTTTGCCTTGATGAGAGTATTGAGAAACAACTTATCCCCTATGCTTACAACATCAGCAGATGCTGTCGTATTTCTTTGAGAGGAACTGTGGTACTTCATTTAAGTACTAAGGAGACGATTTTTTGCTGGGAAAACACTTGCTTAACCTCATCAAGAAGTTTTCAAAATGAAGTTTGAGAAGGGAGAAAAAGTTCTAGGTAGATAGTAAGGGTACATCCTATGGAGTAAAGTTAGTGACACAGAAGATTAGAGAAGGATGTGCCTATGACTCCCAGAATGTAAGGAACAGATGCTGAACATCCCTGACCTTGCTACATAATATATGCCCAGAGTATCATGAGAAAAGTAGAATAAATGCATTTTTGGGGTGCCACTGAGAATTTATGAGAGGGGTTCATGACTAGGCATTTGAATGCTTCCTAGAGGCACTTTGTTAAGTAACCATGCCTCATTCAATCCTTATAAAAATGTTATGAAGTACATATATATCCCCAATTTCAATATGGAACCTGAGCCTGTAGATGGTTAAGTATTTAGAGATAGTAATCAGCTTTTGATGGGTAACTCAGCCATGATGTAACTTAATTACGTTTGTTTCCTCTTCCTCTCATATGCTGAGGCTGGCTTGATCCTTGACTTTCCAGTATGGGGGAGTGAGTAAGTCATAGTTACAGTTGGCACCAGTATGTTTTGCTATTGTGTTAGCCAGGTGACAGTTCTACTTGGGACAATGACGAAATATAACAAGTAGTCGTCCTTTTCTTGCACCTTCTAACTGATTTTAGCAGTCATTCTTCACTGTACATAGTGTCACTCACTCACTCACTGTTCACTGTCTACCTGTATCTCCACTGGCTACATCCATCAGTAGAGCCAACTTGAGCTTTGTGTAATCTCACTTAGGTCAACTTATAGCACCCCTTCCAATTTCTTACGTATTCGCCTATTTCTTTTATCTTTCTTAAAAAATATGTTTTTATTGATTTCAGAGAGAGTATGGGAGCGGGAGAGAGAGAGATAGAAATATCATTAAGAAACATCAACATTGATCGGTTTCCTCCTGCGTGCCCCCTATTGGGGGTCAAGCCCGCAACTCATGCTTGTGCCCTGACTCAGAATCTAACCAATGACCTCTTCTTGGTGCATAGGTGGACAGTCTCTCTCATCTTACCTTCTAGTTCATATCCCTTGAATCGCTCCTTGTCTGCCCGATATTCATAATGTTCCTTCTGGAAAGCTTCCTCAAGGTAGAGTTTAGGTAGAAATTTTCTCTTTGTGTGTCAATTTTTTTCAAGTATCTGATGATTTTTGGTTGTCTGTTGATATAAATGAAGGTTTAGGTTATAGACTCTATGGCAATTAATGTTGGTAACTGGAGTGGGTTCCCCTTAACTTTGCTTAGCTTTTATTACCCTGTAGGCTCCTCCCTCAAACAGGAGGGCTGATGCTGAGCTGAGCTATGTGTGTGAAGAGTGTGGTTGGCAGGCTTCACTTCACTTTAGGGTGTGAGGGAGGGGTGGCAGTAGTTAGCAATAAGAAAGGCTTTGATCTGGGTCATCAAACCTGCCTTCTGCCAACGGTTTAGTTTTTTTTAATTCTTTTTAGACTTATAAACACCCTTTATTTGCCAAATGCCACATTGGGAGCTGGGAACACATCTTTACTCATAAAGTCTACATTTAATGTGCTTAAAATTTAAGGTTTAGAGTCTTTAAAAAAGTGTTTCTTTAGTTTTAGGCTGGATTTGAATGCAGCTGCACTTTTAACTGTGTAGGCATGAGAATGGGAAGTGCCAGGGAGGAGTTGAGCATTGGCCTTTCTAACCCTTCAGGCAGTCCTGCTGCACTCTTTTTTTTAATCTTCACCCGAGGACATTTTTCCATTTTTTGTTCAGATAGAGTAGGAGGGAGAGAGAGAGAGAGAAACATCAACGTGGAAGGGACACATCGAGTGGCTGCCACCCGCAGGACCCAACCACGGCCAGGGACAAACTGCAACTGAGGTACGTGCCCTTAGCGGGAACCGAACCCAGGTCTCTCTGGACCGCAGGCCAACGCTCTAACCGCTGGGCCAAACCGGCCATGGCAGTCCTGCTGCATTCTAATTTTTGCTCTCCCAGCTCTAATCGTGGAGCCTCTCTAGAGCCCTATCAGAGGATGGCATGTACATTCATTTAGGACTTAAAGTGTTTATTCTTGGGTTGGAGCTTCCTTTATTCTTGTTTATTTCTCAGCTCTGAATAGATTTATTACCTTTTTTTTCTATCATTTCAGTAAGATATAGTGAAAAAGAAGAGGCAGACACATTTGCCCAAGTCTGTCATTTTGAAATGAGCCAGAGGTTCTTTAGACAAGTTTGAGTATTTGTGATTTTAAGAATTGAAACAAGCTTATTTAATTAATGCATTATTGTTTCCCAAGTATTTATAGAATAGTTTGGAATGCTTTTAGAATGTGAAATTATTGTCATGCTGAAGTACATCATCTATATATGAATAACTTATGTTCTAAAAATAGTTACATAGTTTTTTAGAGCAAGGACAGCCAAAGATACCCCAGATACCTGGGCAAGAGAGGATTTTGGCATTGCCATTTGCTACTAATAATTGATAATTGGGACCAGAAGCAAGGTATCTCTGGCTCACATGATGTTATTTATATTATAGAATTGTTTCCTGATGTAACATTAGCTAATTTCAGGTTGTCTTCCTTGATAATGACATTAACCTGTTAACCGGGGAATAACCGGGGAATTCCCTTTTTACTGTATGCAACGTTTGACGTATTTATACATCCCGCTTGGTTAACAGGTTAAGATAAAAACTCTATATGGTGGCTATATAGATTTAGGTTGTAATTTGTGTTTATTTCAGTGAATGATAAAAGAATAATTTGCCATGTCTTTACTTCTAATAGAGTGAAAATGAATCTGTATGCAACATTATTTTTATTTCTTAATACATTTTGGGAAAGTTAATTGCAACTGTATGGTTCAGGGATTTAGTGCAAGAAGAAGAACAGTTGATGGAAGAAAAGAAAAAGAAAAAAGACGACAAGAAAAAGAAGGAAGCTGCTCAAAAGAAGGTAGTATATGTATAAACTATTTATATTAAGCAGTTGAAACATAAATTTAAAAATAAAATTACTCTTATTGAATTTTAAAGCATTCGATTTAATGTTTTAACTTCAATGCAGTTTCATTTTAACCTTTAATATCTTTGACTATGTATATTTAGTAACTTGCCAAATGCATACGATTTAATTTTAATTTAACTTAATGTATAGTTATTTAATCTTGCCAATAGTTTTTTTCCAAAGGTAAGTGCTTTGTATAGGTCTTTGCCTTTCAATTAGCTGTTGATAGGTTTTCATAATCTGTCATTTCATAAGTGAGAAGAGAATGGAATTGGTAGCTGCATAGATGGATTTGAAATCTGGCTCTCTCATATGGCATGCAGAGCATTGTGGCCTTAAACTTTATTTATTCTTTCTGGGCCTTAAAAGTTTTCTTATGTTTTGTAAAATGAGTATTAAATTAAACGAGATAATGTAATACATACACATAATAATACACAATTGGAAATAAAGTAATACAACAATATAGTAATAAAGGAAATGGTATTGTACATAATAGAAAATAAAGTGTCAATTTCCTTTTCACTTTTTGTTTAGTACCTGGACTGGTTTTTAAAATTTGCAGTTTTTATTATGGTATTTTAATGAACTCTAAGACACAATTTGTTGCAAAAGCCGTTTAGCCAGAAACGGTAACCAAAGCAATACAAATTGCAGAAAAATAAAAGATTATGTTCGTAATTTCAAAAATTTTTACAAGTTAATACTAAGGGCTTATGAAGGTTAACTGAGCTGGCTCTCATTTATAGTATCAAGCTTTCAAGGCTCTTAATTGTTCTAAAAGACCCAGTGAAGTTACTGTTGTATTTTTTTATTCTAATGAAAAATTATGATTTTAATTTTTATGTAACTCTTTTGTGCCAGGCACTGTGCTAGGAACTGGATGTATATAACAGCAACATAGCTCTACAATATTTAATAGGGGAAAACAAAGGATACAAAACTCTGGTAGGTAGGGAACTGTTAAAGCAGAGAGAACTGCTTAACTTGGCGTGAAACAGGGCAGGTGACAGGGAAGTTTTGGGGGAATAGAAGTTGGCCAAGTGAAGAAGGAGCAGAATACAAAAGGATTCCAAACAGACTAACTTCAGAAGAAAATGTCCATAGCCTTGCGGTAAAGTATGGGTTCTGATGGGGAGCTAGCCAAGGGTAGAAATGTCAGGGAACGAGACTCAGGAGGTTGATGGTAGCTATCAGCTCTTCTAGGGGTTTGGGCCATTGAGTTTACCTTGGCAAATTATAGATTGGATTGAAAGGGGAAGAAACTAGAAGCTGAGATACTGGTGCAGGGACTAAAAAAAGTCCACAGAAGTTTTTGAAAAGATACGAAGAGAGAGGAACCTAGATTGACTCTTAGTTTCCAGTTTGAGTGATTGAATACATTTTGGGAGCAGTTAATCAGGTTAGAGGATACACAGAACTGGTCCTTGAATAACGTGTTGATGAGATGTAGGAATTTAACTCTTGTTTATATCAATTAGCCTATTGGTTTCATTTTACTCCTTTCCCCATAGTTCCAAGAACCTATTCAGGGCATTAAGTGAGGATTTACTATAATCCAGTTTTGGATGTGCTGAGGTTAGGTTGTGATCAGCTGATCCTGAGGAGGGGTGGAGTACACAGCACCATGGAGGAGGATTAAGGTTGGGGTGATAGGTGACTCCTGCCATTGGCCTTTTGGTTGCTCTCAGGAGTGAATGGAAAGAGATGCATCAGTATTTGTCATAGTTAGGGTTTGGAATAGGCTTCTAGTACAGTTATCCTGCTTTGCTTTTATGAAGAGCTATATTGGTACTGTCGAGTTTTGGCATTGACATTTGACAGTTCCCTTAGGCCTGTGATATAGGATGGTCTTGGCAATCTGGTCAGTCCTTGCTCAGGATTGTGGCTTCTGTAAGTCTAAGATTTTGGGCAGGCATATCAAACTCATGGTGTGAAGGCCATTTACTTAATGAAAAGAATTTATAAGAAATTAAAGACATTTATTGAGGAAGATGCTTGGGCGTATTTTATGTAGAATTAGTAGTTTGGCAAGCATCTGAATATTGATCCCTATTGATCCTTGCTTCTAAGGAATCTTAAGATTTAGCTGGTAAGTCAGGATGTTGTGAAATGGTTAGAGAAAAGACCTAAGTTATTATATAAAGAAGCATGCTTATTTGGAATTTACTTTGTTCACTGAGGACATTCTAAGAAAGGGAGGATTCACTGGAATTTCTTTGAATATTGTGTGTTTAAAATATGTAATGTGAGTATAATTTTTAAGTTATAACATACAAATTATGGCTCTTGTTGTTAGTTTGTTTTTTTCATATCCAGTTTCCAAATCACTAGTTCAATATCTGTAACCATAAATGACAATTTTTGTGCCATTGGCTTCTCGGTAGATCTGAAGTGACAGCTTTCCATGTTCTCACTTCACGCCCGCCTCGACGTATGGTTCTAGTTTCTCATCTCAACCATGTCCTGCTAGAGCTGTTCTCAGAGGCTTAGAGAGGTGGGCAGTGTTTTCTTCTTTTGCCAGACCTTCAGCATTGGTAAGGTATTTTTTTATGTCCCACAAACACAGTAATACCTAGTCAGTGAACACAATATAAAGGAAGGTTTAATACCTCTAATGTTAAGATTAGTAGGCTAGACTGCCACTGTGACACTGTTCTTCAGATTCCAAATAACCAGCTTACAACTGCATTTAAATACAACCCATTGGTGAAGTGAGGACAGCTGGTATTTCTAGATGCTGTTACTAAATAGCTTTTAAAAAACAAAACAAAAAAAACTCTCAAGGTGACATGTTTACAGCCCATATGAAAGATTGTGAGTTACAAGAGTTTTGAGACCAGTTTCTTCGAGCTTGTCTGTTGTAGGAGCAAGCAGGTATATCCAGGTAGGTGGCAAACATCTACATAAGGCATGTAGGCAGGCCCATTATATGTTGGAACATAAATTCACTAAAAGAAAAAATTTGCCTGTTTCATCTGTGTATACTTTTTAAAAATCTATATATTTTATTTCTGAAAAAAACTTCAGATACTCTATGTTCTAATCCATTCATTATATATATATAAGGGACCCAAGCATTAAAGTTAGTTAAATGTCTAACCATGGTTTCATCAGGGTGCTGGAACTAGGAATAGAATCAAAATCTTCTATTCCTCAGCTGGTGCTTTTCCAGAACTCAGTACCATGGCTTTATCCGTTCTGTACAGAACTTACTATGCGTTTGCTTTGTTTTCACAATCTAAAGGTGAACTTTAAAGCTGGAAATAATATATATGGTCTTTTTTTTTTTTTTAATCCTTACCCAAGGACATTTTTGCATTTAACTTCAGATAGAGCTGGAGGGAGAGAGGGCCGGAGAGAGAGAGAGAGAGAGAGAGAGAGAGAGAGAGAGAGAGAGAGAGAAACAGAGAAACAGAGAAACAGAGAAACATCAATGTGAGAGAGACATCTACTGGCTTCCATTCACATGACCCCAACTGGGGCTGGAGAAATACTGCAACCGAGGTACGTGCCCTTAGCGGGAACAAACCCAGGTCTCTCTGGTCTGCAGGCCGATACTCTAACCACTGAGCCAAACCAGCATGCTATTATGGTAATTTTTATAAGGCATTAAAAGGTCTTATGCCATGGGTGCAAAAAACAGTCTCTAGTAGCCACTGTAGTCTTTTAAAGAAATTGTACTTCAGACCACAGGTTATTTTTTTATTAAAAACAACAACAACAACAAAAAAACCCCCAGATAACACAACTCCTTATATAAACAACCAGACACCAACAAGGCTTTCTATAATGTTTTTATTATGATAGCTTTTCTTATTTTGTCTATTTAAATATAAATTGATTTAAATTCATCTTTAAAGAAATATTACACAAAAATTACATGTGTTTTATTGTATCTCAGCCCCAATACATCTCTATTAATTAATAGAGCTCAATGATTGAATGGCTTTGTTAAAAAAAATTTTTTTTTAAATTTTTTTGCAAAACCCTATTTTACATCTCAGAATGTTTTTACTTATCGTCTATTTACTTATCTTCTGATTCTAAGACTTAGAAAATAATTTGACATAGTATTGGGAATATAGTTTCTGTACTTAAAAAGGGGGGAACAATAGTAGCAGTAAGTTGTTACCATAGATTTATATCCAGGTTCTGTTTTTAGAAGAAATTTCCAGGAGTCTTGAGGATATACAGTGAGGAGGAAAAAGAAGGTTGAGAAATGGGTTAATTATAGAGGGGATAATTTAGTATAACCTTTATTTTAAACTTGTAATTGTAGTTCCTAGAAAGCATTTAATCGTTGAGGGCTGGAAGGAAGCAACAATACAAATTGGGACCTTTTTTTAAGAGACAGTTTTGTTACTTAGTGTTAAGTGCTGAAGGGACTTATAGGCTTTGTGGATTCAGATGTGTTTGTTCACTTTGTTTAAATGAGACTTCATTCTCTTTTAGAAATTTTAGTGTTTACTTTTCTTGTCTCTCAAAGACCATTTTGTTCTGAGACTAGGGATCATATTAAGCAGTCTAAGTGGCAGTTTTGTTTGTTTGTTTGCTTTTTCAGTAAGCTAGGGGATAATATAACCAGGCCTGAAACATTGCACTCATCTAGAGTGTCCCCTTATGGTCCTGCCCCTTATTTTAGCTTTCTGCAGTCATGTGCTGCATAAGAACATTTGGATCAGTGACTGATTGCATATACAACAGTGGTCCCCTAAGTTAAGAATGGAACTGAAATGTTCCCATCTCCTAGTGAAATGGTTTGGTGGTAGCTTGGTGCAATACTCAGATACTATTGTGTTACAGTTGCCTGCAGTGTTCAGTACAAGTAGTATGTGGTACAGGTTTGTAGCCTAGGAGCTATGGGGGAACAGAATTTGTCACCCCCAAATATGTCTTTTTGGCCTAAGGGTTATTTTAAGCTGGTTAATTTTAAGAAACAGCAGACGTGGAGAAACTCTGAAAACCAAATAAAAGTTACCCTGTGTAAAAGACATTTACATTGTAAGGGAAATCTCTGTCACAGTGCCTTCCTCTACCAGGAAGAGGGGGGGTGACATTATCTCTAGAAACTCTCATTAGTGCAGAAGTTAATGACAAATCTGTATAACCACCTTTACAAATCTGCTTTATTGTGCTTTTCCTGGGAACCTGCATTACTGACTCCCACCAACCCCAACATCTTCCATCTTTAGCTGAAGAAAGTATTTAAGGTGGTGGGTTCAGTTATTTTGGTAAGATTTTGTTTTCCTGGGTCTTTCCCATGTATATAGGAAGTATATATGTTGCTAAACTTTTTTGTTTTTCTTCTGTTAATCTGTCATTTATTACAGATGTCTCAATTAAAGACCCCGAGGGTAGAGGGAAAGTTATTTTTCCTCTCCTACAGAGCAGTAGGTCATATACCATGCAGCCAAAGTGTGCATTAGGCCATTCCTTCTAGATTTGCTAAGTGCCTCTATGATCACATAACCATATCACCTCATGACGCAGTTCTCAGAATGAATCCCCATTGTTAAGCAGCATGAGATTATTCTCTTTTTCCTTTTTTAAACTCATTTTAATTCAGCAGACTTTGTTTAAACTCATTTTAGTTCAGTTCTAGACTTTGCTAAGAAATCATAGAAAAACTTCCTTACCAGCAGGTGGGGCTGATAGCAGCAGTAGCTGCTGCTATCTTATGAATGTTCTCTGTATGCCAGACATTGTCTTAAGCACTGTATATGAGTTAAATCATTTTATCCTCATTGTCACACTTTTTGTTCTTGTCTTATAGATGAGGAAACCAAGCTTTAGAGAATTTAACTAATTTTGACCAAGGTCACAGTGTGTAAGTGGTGGGGCCAGGACTCAAAAGCCAGGCAGTCTAGCTCCAGGCTCTGACCTCTTAACCAGCAAGTATGCTTAGTGATAGAGGAGTTGGGACAAGTGGTACAGAGCCCAAAAGAAAGAAAACAGCTAGCATGCTATGTCTGCCACCTGTCTGGTGCCTTCATTAATGAATTGAGGCAGTTGTGAAAATTGCTTGTGGAATCGCAGCTTAGGTTTGTTTGTTTAAGGAAAAAAATGTATTCAAAATGTAAGTCATCCTGCTTCTAGACTTTTCAGAATTCTTTAATTCTGTAACTATACCTCACATTTGAATAGTGTTGTGTATTTTCCCACAAAAGATATTTTTATATTTTACTTGAGCCTCATAATAGCCCTGTAAAGCAAACAATACAGTTTTTTTTCTTTTATCCTTACCCGAGGACATTTTTCCATTTTTTTGTTCAGATAGAGTAGGAGGGAGAGAGAGAGAGAAAAAAAAACATTGATGTGAAAGGGACACATTGAGTGGCTGCCACCTGCACAACCCAACCAGGGCCGGGATCAAACTGCAACCGAGGTACATGCCCTTAGTGGGAACCGAACTCCGGTCTCTCTGGACCGGAGGCTGACGCTCTAACCACTGAGCAAAACTGGCCAGGGCCAGTACAGATTTTTTTTCTCCTTATATTTGAGGAATTAGGAAGCTGAGACCCAGAAAGTTTAAATGACAAGGTCATTCAAAAGTCAAAAGTCAGTTGAAGTTAGTTTTAATATATTCTGTGTAACCCAACAGATAACCAAAAAATTACTATTTTAACATCTAACGGTATAAAATATTAATGAGATAGTTCGGTCCTGTGTTTTATACATATCAATTTAGACTAGCTATTTTTCAGTGGTCAGCAGCCACATACGAATAGTGGCTACCATTTTAAACAGTGCAGATAAACACTGTTAAATAGTTTGAGTAATATACTAGGTCCTGGACTAACCCACAAAAACCTATTTTAAAGCAATGGAGCTCTTATCAGTTCCATTCCTCCTAGTCAGTTAGGAGCTCTTGGATTCTGTTACCTACATTTCTTTACTATATCAGTCAATGTTCTGATGGGAAGACATCTTTAGGTGTCTCCTTGTTGCCATTCTCTGTGTATGACAGCAAACAATGAAATTGATCATTTTTCTGAAGCAACACAGTTTCCCAAAGGACTTGCAGAAAGAGTATCCTTTATGTTGTAAAGCCTAGAGGAACAACACTGTATATCTTGGAGTTTAGTAATGTGGTCATGTACTGTAACTTAGTTTTTTTGGAAGTAAACTGTGGAAGAAACAGGAGAGTTTAAAAGAAAAGATTTACAACTTTTAATGTAATTTTTATGCCCTGGCCAGTTTGGCTCAGTGGTTAGAGTGTTGGCCCGCGGACTAGAGAGTCCTGGGTTTGGTTCCCGCTAAGGGCATGTACCTCTATTGTAGTTTGTCTCCAGCCCCGGTTGGGGTTGTGTGGATGGCAGCCAGTCAGTGTGTTTCTCTGACATCGACGTTTCTCTCTCTCTCTTCCCCTGCCTCTCCCTCCCGCTGTATCTGAAGATAAATGCAAAAATGTCCTCTGGTGAGGATAAAAAAAATAATAATAATAGTGCTGGCCGGTTTGGCTCAGCGGTTGGAATGTCCACCTGCGGACCAGAGAGTCCTGGGTTTGGTTCCCGCTAGGGGCACGTACCCCACCTCCATAAAAAATAATTTTTATGCTAATATTTTGGCTTCAGAAAACTACAAATGTTATTGTTTGACATGACACTTCTATACTTTGAAGTATTTATATACCGAGTTCTCTCTAATAAGACTTTTTTACTACTACTAGATTTTTAAAACTATTTCTCCAGAAATTTAGTATTCAACCTAGGTGACTTTTTTTGCCATTGTCTTTCTATCAGTTTTTTTAAAAATACTTGATCCATATAAAGTAAAAGATGGCCCTCCATTATTTTACATATCACTAGTGCTCTAAAACTTGGTAAAGCACAACTGACTCTGGCTCTCTGGGAAAAGATTAATGTTTGTTGTGTCTTTACTATTAGGGCAATTGCCATGTAGCTCTATAATGATATAATTAAAAATTGGCATTTTTGTTAATAATAATTTTATATGACTAAGCAAAGTGAACTATCAAGCCCCATGACAGGAAGTTAAGAAATGCTTTATCTTCATTTAGAAATGATTCCTGGTTATCAGTTAAAATTATTCAGTCTTTCCTCGACTCCCTGCCTATCCTTGTATCTTTTATTTTTTAGGACTCCCATACAATTGGTCTTAATGAAAAAGTTGATTTTATGGTGACCTCTGTCTAGAATCAGTTCTCTCTCTTTGAGCCACCATGAGGCCGTCCTACTGTGCCCAAATCCCTCTCCCTATTGTGTCACAGACAGTGGAAATAGAGGCAGGCATGGAAAGCAGGGCGCATGTCCATGTGAAGTTACCTTCTGAATATGGTAATTTTAATGAATTGTCATATGTCAGAAGTGGCATATATTTGAAAATTTTCCCCAATCAAAAATACTTAAAGGTTAACTATGTTTAACTCTTATAACAGCCTAATTATTACTAATTTGGCTTAAGTGGTTATCTTTAGCTTTTCTTTCAGAAAACTTAACTCATCTTTTATAATTTGAAACAATTTTTGAAGCCGTTTAAACATGTGCAAAACTCATTAGATACATTAATGAAAAGATGAGAATTATGTAAAAATCATTTAAAAACTAAATACGTGCAATTCCATTTTTATTGTACATTGTCATACAATGTCTTCTTTGCATTGCATCTACAGAAACATTTTTTAATTTTTTATTAATAAACATTGTATCAGAAACAGTTGGGTACATCTATGGGAAAAGCATGCTTCCTTTGCATACCTTTTCCTTATGTAGTTCATCTAAATGACAGATTCCTTATTTAATAAAAGTGTATATATGTCTTATATATAATCTATGAGCATTTTGTCATAACAACCCATTTCTTTGTTTCATATTTACATTGTTTTTTGTTTGTTTTTATTTTAGGCCACTGAACAAAAAATCAAAGGTACGTTGTTTAAAGCTATTTTTTATTCTTCTCTCTTTTTTTTTTTTTTCCCCATTAAAGCAAGTTTGTTTATATGCATTTTTATTCACCTCTAGAGTGGGAGAGAGACAAGAATGTAAGAATCAGAGGGTTGGGGGCAGGCTTCTTCAGTGATACCACATTGAAGTCATCCTTTGGGGTTCATACTTTATCGTGGTGGATATTACACTTTTAGAATATACTTTCTCAGGACCTATTTTGCAGCTGTCTCTGAAGATGAACACCACTTCCCTTGATTTAAGTGTTTGAGCACAGGTACCTTTCCCTCAGTCTTCAGTCAAAAGTCTTCCCTTGCTTTATTTCTTGTCCTCTGTGTACATTGTCCCCCTCTCCTTCCTATAGAAAGATATGACATCCACTCTGTATTATCACTGAAGATAGTAGATTGCTAACCTTATGGTCATTGTATCAGGTTGAACAGCTCCCAGTACACAGCAAGCAAAAGACTTCAGAGAGGTAAGGTAACAGGAACTGAATTCCTTTCAGATCCTAAATCAGGAATTCTTCACCCTTGTAGGAGTTGACTGCATGGTATTGAAATGTGTAGGGCTAGCTATCAGATGCTAAACTTGTTAGGCCTAAAGATTCTGAATTTTTACTTTGAGCTGCATCAAAAGTATGTCTGTGCATTTGGTTGATATACTGCCTGTTTTAATTTGAGGTCAGCATTGGTCAAGGTAACATTTATTAGGTACAGTTGTATAAGAGTAAATAAGAAACGTTGTAGCTTATATTTTACCGGAGAAAATGGCAGTAGAAGGACATACCCAAACACAGTATCTCTGACGTGATTTGGTTAAAGTAAATGTCTTAGTTGTCCTGGATCCTAGAGGGATGATAATTAGTTAACATAGTGAGTTAAGGAAGGCCTCCTTGAGGAAGACCTTAAGATTATGAATCTTAAATGATTTAACAGCCAGTCTAAAAGAAAGAGAATGAAATGGCAGAGGGATCAGCATGATGAAGGCACAGAGATAGGCAGAGATAGGCAGTAATGTGGTATTATAGGCAGTGGTGGAATTTCTAGAACATTAAATACACAGTGAGAAGTGAACAGGTTGGAAGGGTTTCTCTGAAGAGATAGGCGGGAATCAGGTCAAAGATGGCTTCATATTCTGAATGTATGAAGGAAATGAGACTTTTATTTTATAGGCTGCTAGGAGCCACTGAAGAGTTTAAGCAGAGGAGTGACATGGTTGGGTTTGTTTTTTTTTGGGGGGGGGGGTCCCTTTTTTAAAGTTTTCAATCACTATGTGGAAGGTGTTGGCTCAAAGATGGAGCTGAGAAAAACAAAGGCATTCTGAGCAGAGGAGGCAGGTGGACAAGAAGAGGGAATATTTAGAGAGTTACTATAGGAGTGTTGGGGAAGTGGCAAAATATAGATAGGCCTAGAGGTTGGCAGACTGGAGAGCTTATGCTGGTTAGAGAATGTATGCATTTAGAGGTCGCGGTTATAAGCTGTGCTTTAGGAACAGTTCTTTGTTGGTAGTATTCAGTGTCACCAGTAGAAGCAGTATGAGAGAGGATAGAGAAGGAGTAGAATGGGTCATGAGGACTTGAGCTGAGGTCTTCTTGGCAGTAGGGGTAGATGGATGACAGATGTGTGAGGCATAATCAAAAACTGGTGAGATCAGAAGGATTGAAGGTGATATATGGCTTTGAACCTGGAAGCCTAAGAATGTTGCAGGGGTGTAGAATGATGTTGGGAGGAACATTGTCACATTTATTTAGTAGGAATGTAAGCTAATTTTTTAAAAACTCTACTTTCCTCACCACTCCCCTATATAGGAATGTTAAATTGTTCCTTGCTCTTTGGTTCAAGACCAGATTCCTCTGGTTGGTTCTCAAGGCCCTCTTTAATCTGACCTCCCATAGTCTAACCAACCTGTTTCCATCATTTCCTTATACTTTTCAGAGTAGTCTTCTCTTTTGCATGTTTATTCCTTTCTGTATTTGTTAATCTAATTTCTCAGCCAAGGATGCCTTTCAGCATTTCCAACCCTCTCAGAGCTTACCTCCCAGTGGATTGCCACAATTGCCATTGGTCCCTCCCTTTCTGATTTCTGAGGAAGTGATGATGTCTCTTAACCTTGGGACACTTGATTATATTCTGTATTAGTTTTTTGACTGCCTATCCCATGGATATTTATTTGTTTCTCCAACATAACCTTTTGATTACCTATGTTTATATTCTTTCCAAAATGTAAGTCATCCTTTTAGATCCATACATCAAATATGAACAGATTTGAATCTTATGAGAACGTTAGGCTGAGTAGAAGGAAGTTGCTTCAAAATGCGTTAGGTTGTTTTGCCCACTCTTTTACTCACTCATCCTTACTTTGGTGGCAGCTCCCTTCATAATTGGTCAAGTTTGTTCTGATTCATGAAAGTGTATTGCTGATCTTTGTGCTATGTGTAATATCTGTGTGGTGCTTATGGTTTGGGTTCACAGGAATTAGAGATTACCAGCTGGAAGCTCGTGGGACAGGTTTGGCCCACAGTTGTTGGTGTCTACTGAACTCTATATTTTGGAATAATTTATGATTTACAGAAAAGTTGAAAAGATACTACAGAGAGTTTCCCACATATACCTCACCCAGTTTTTCCGTTATTCACATCTTACATTTCTGTGTTTCATTTGTATAAACTAAGAAACCAACAGTGATACTAACTGAACTCCAGACTATAGATTTCACCATTGTTTTTTTTCATTAACGTCTTTCTGTTCTAGGATCCAGTGTAAAATATAAGATGCATTTAGTTGTCGTATCTCCCCAGTCTTCTCTGGTCTCCACACGGTGATTTTATTATCACCCTTTAAATTTTTTATTGCCAGCATTAAAAAATCAGGAGAAACCACCCTAATGCAAAATTGTAGTTTCTACTGCAATTTGTACTGTCAGCATTATTTTTTTGTCTTTGTGTATTAGAGAGTCCATATAAAGCTGAAGTTTAGCCACTCAGTGTGGCTATTGAGTTCTTGAAATGTGGCTGAGGAGCAGAATTTTAATTTTATTGAACTGCATAGCTGCAGAGCCCTCTTTTTAAAATAATTTATTAGTTAATTAATTAATTTTATCATCACCTGAGGACATTTTTGCATTTATCTTCAGATAGAGTGGGAGGGACAGAGAGGGAGGAAGAGAGAGAGAGAAACATCAATGTGAGAGAGACACATCGAGTGGTTGCCACCCACACGACCCCAACCGGGGCCAAACTACAACTGAGGTACATGCCTTTAGTTGGAACCAAACCCAGGTCTCTCTGGTCCACAGGCCAAAGCTCTAACCGCTGAGCCAAACTGGCCAGGGCTCTAGAGCTTTTTTGATTGTTGAGTCAAACGGAGCATAACTAGTTAGGCTGCAGTACCCCTGTATAATGAATTCTGCATTAATGAGCTGTTTCTTTTTAATACCACTGCCATTTCCAGTTATATAGTACCCACTAATGTTGCTGCCACTTGGTGGCACACTGTTTATATGAAAGCTGGATTTTTGTAAATTAAATTCTTGACCAGCTTTTTTATGTGCAGATGACTAGATGTTTATTTCTTGGTGCAATGAATACATGATTCACCTAATAAAAACATGGGCTAGTATAATGAGTGGTATGAATAGTTGGATATTTGAATATTTGAAATATATGTATATATATTATGGCCCCGACAGGGTAACTCAGTTGTTCTGATATGCCAAGGTTTTGGGCTTGATCCCCACTTAGGACACATACAAGAATCAACCCATGAATGCATAAATAGGTAGAACAACCATTAGATGTTTCTCTCCCTTTCTCTCTCTAAAGTCAATAAGTAAAAAAAATTTTTTAATGTATATTATGAATAATTTCTTGAAACAACAAGGGAATAATGTGTTGAAAAATTTACTGTGAAGTGTAAGAATAGATGAATAAAATTTAAGATGCCTTGTGGCCTGTATAATGTAAAGGCAGGAAATGAGTTAATGTCCTTGGAAACTTGATTAAGAATAAAAGTCTGTTTTGTTGTTGTTGTTGTTAATCCTTACTCAAGGATATTTTTTCCATTGATTTTTTTTTTTTTTTTTTTTTTAAGATAGAGTGAAAAGGAGGGAGATGAGAGAGAGAAACATTGATGTGAGAGAGACATGCACGACCCCAACCAGTCCCAGGCTGACCTCTAACCACTGAGCCAAACCTGCCAGAGCAAAGATCAATTTTTAAAAACAGCTCTTGAGCTCTGGCACTGGCTTGTTTTGGAAACATGTTGATCATATATTACTTACAAAAGAATATACACTGATAATTTTTGATAGCTAATATTTGTCTGTGTTTCTGTCTATCAGTCTATCATTCCAGGGCTTTCTTCAGGTGACTTCATAAGCAAGCTATATTTTAGAGACTAACAACCCCCAGAGCTTCTAAAGAAGGAGCAAGAAGCCTAGAATGGAAGCAGGAATAGAGAAAAACAAAGATTTTTTGTTTTCTGGTGCTCACACAGTGAAGCATAGTTTATTACTGCTATACTTGTTCTGGATTTAAAAACTCAAGAAAATTGAATCAACATTTGAAACACGTTTTTTTTCCAGTCACTGTTGGAAACCATTGTTTTTACTCAATTCTACCCTTACAATATTTTCAATCAAACACAATTTTATTGCTTAAATTTGTTGATCTGTGCCTTGGGGAATGTCTGGCCCACGGGCCATATGAGACCCGTGAAATCAATACCAGATAACATCACAGGCCTCACCAAATTAATCTGACCAAATATAGCAGGCTAACAAATAAGTTGATAATTTTGTATGGCTATCAAATGATGTTATAAATATCTAAAGGGCCCTTGGCAGAAAAAAGGTTTCCCACCCCTGATTATTCTAGGGAGTGATCAAAAACTAAAGAACTATTAAATCAGCTACATGTTGAATCATATTGGAGACATCCTGACAGCTAACGTACTTACTGTGTGCCTAGTACTGTGCCTTACA